GTGTGTGTGTGTGTGTGTGTGTGTGTGTGTATGCCAGTCCTGGGGCTTGAACTTAAGGCCTGGACTCTGTCCCTGAGCTTTTTTGTTCAAGGCTAGAACTCTATCACAGGAGCCACAGTTTCATTTCCAACTTCTTGGTGGTTAATTGGAGGTAAGACTCTCACAGACTTTCTTGCCCAGGCTGGCTTTGAACTGTGATTCTCAGATGTCAGCTTCCTGAGCAGCTAAGATTACAGATGTAAGCTACCAGAACTTATGTTTTCCCCCCAAAACCCAGGCACTTGGAAGTGGTGATGTTGTTCAAAGTGGTAGAGGGCTAGGCTTGAGTGAAAAAAGCTCAGGGACAAAGCTCGGGCCCTGAGTTCAAGCCCCATAAACACTACCACCACCACCACCACCACCACCAACAACAACAACAACAAAGTCAGGCACTGGTGACTCATGCCCATAAATCCTCAGGATGCTGAGATCTGAGGATTGTGGTTTAAAGCCAGTCTGGGCAGAATAGTCCAAGAGATTCTATTTTCCGTTAACCAGCAAAATTGTGGACTGGAGCTATAGATTAAATGGTAGAGCACCAATGGTGAGCAAAAAAGTCTAATAAAAATACAAGGTCCCGAGTTCCAGGAATAAAACATATATATTTTTTTTCTGACTTTTGAACCATGTAATACATCCTCACTTTGGTCATCATAATGTCAAGGGTTTAGGGTTGGGCCTTCATCACTCACATCATTCCAATTTCTTTCTCCTGTATTTGTTTTCAGATTGCATAATGTCTATAGTGTGAATAAAAGATAATTAAAGTTACAGACTCTAAGTCTCTTATGACAATGACTTTGCTTGGGTTTCTTTTTAAAGTCCATGAAGACAAGAAGAGAAACAATAACATTTACACAGCCCCTTTTGCTTATGGTGCATTTTGGTGCATTTCCCCCATTTCCTTGTTTGTAAATATGAGGCAATCACTAGTGCCCAGTTAGGAATATAGCTCAGAACAATGCTTGGCACAGAAAAGCCTTATATAAACACTTGATGTTGTTTTTGTTATTAGGCATGGTAATTTATTTATACCATTAGGTCTTTCTCAACTACCAACAATGCCTAACGAAAGAAAAAAGGACTAAACTGGTTTAACTGGTTTCTAGAGTTCCAAAAGGTAGTAGATAGAACCACAAATACCAGCCCATAAAACAAACAAGGGTGGGGCTGACAAGGCCCAGAAGTGAAGGAGGAAGTAACAGGTCAACAGGTGGATGGTTTTTCCCTGGGTTTACTATTCTTTCTCAAGTTTACTATCCAGCTTAAAAATAAAGTTAGCCAGGTGTCACTGGCTCACACCTGTAATCCTAGCTATGCAGAAGGCTGAGATCTGAGGATTGAGGTTTGAAGCTGGCAGAAGCCCATGAGACTCACATCTCCAGTTAATCACCAAGAAGTCAGAAGTGGAACCAGAAAAGCATTCAGGCTCTGAGTTCAAACCCCAGTACCAGTACAATCACACAAAAACAAACAAGAGTTGTTGGGAGACCATATGACAGGTACAGTTCAAACTAAATGTAAACCTTCACTTGCAAATACACAATTCACATTCTTCATGGGATATACTCAGACCCAAAATGTAACTCAGGTCCCCATCCCATTTATTCCAGAGAACCTACCTTCTCCAAGAGTCCTCTGCAGCAAGTCATGTTTGGCTTGGAGTTTTGTGATGAGATTACTGCCTTCCAGATACTCTCTGAGTTTCTGTAAAAGGCGAGATCAATAATTTAAAAAATTCAAATGTCAAGGAACTCCTAGATAATTGAAACCCAACTCTGTTTATCTTCTGGGTCCTAGAATTTGGCTATTCAAACTGTGATTGCCAGGCCAGTTTCTATCAACACTTGGCAACCTATTAAAAAACTCAGATTTGGCTAGGTCCCGGTGGCTCACACCCATTATCCTAGCTACTCAGAAGGCTGAGATCTAAGGATTGAAGTTTGAAGTCAGCCCAGACAGGAAATTCTGTGACACTATTAACTACCAATTAACTACCCAAAAAGCCAGAAGTGAAGCTGTTGCTCTAGGTCGGTAGAGTGCTAGCCTTGAGCAAAAAAGGCTCAGGGACAGTGCCCAGGCCATGAGTTCAAGCTTTAGTATCAGTACACACACACACACAGACACACACACACACACACAGAGACACAGACACAGACACACACACACACACACACGAGTTCAAGCTTTAGTATCAGTACACACAGACACACACACACACACACACACCACAAAAAGCAGACTTAGAGGCCTGTTCCTCCCTAGACTTATAGAAACAGAATCTGTATTTTTAACAATCTCTCCTGATGACATATTAACATTTCAAATGTGCTGTATTAAAGTAGTCCTAACAACTCCAAAACTCTACCCATAGTGCCTGGACCAGAACCTCTGAGGTAAACAGGAGTTCATATTTTATTCAAGACCCCCCAATCTGGGAAACCCTGCATCTGGGCTCTGTCCAGAGTGACTTGGGATCAAGGATAGGCGCACCATGAAGTAAAACTGCTCAGTTTCTTGCTGGTTGGCTCTTCTCTTGGCGATGCTGGGCTTACTCAGGTAGGTTTCAGAGACAGTGGACTTCACAGACTCTGTAGAGCGGCTGTGCTGGAAGCATTCCGACACATCATAGTCCTCGATGGTGACCATGTCTTGGATGGTCTGTAAAGTGGCTTCAGTTGTTTTCTTGACCTGCAACAGAAACATGCCTCATATTAATACATGAATCCATACAGACCCGATGAAAGCCCATTCTGCCAGATAGAGATGAGGACACAGATCCTGTCCCTGTGGATTGCAGAAAATCCTAGAGGAGACAGACATGTCACCAACACAAGAAGGATATTGTTTTCTATGTGAGTATGCAGAAAACTCAAAGACCACTGGGGATTCTCTCAATTTCCTTTTTTTTTTTTTTGGCTCCAGTAGTGGGGCCTGAACTCTGAGCCTGTGCGCTGTCCCTCAGCTCTTCAGCTCAAGTCTAACGCTCTACCACTTGAGCCACAGCGCCACTTCCGGCTTTTTTTCTTTTGTTTATGTGGTGCTGAGGAATTGAACCCAGGGCCTCAGGCATGCAAGGCAAGCACTCTACCACTGAGCCACCTTCCCAGCCCCTTTTGTTTTATTAATTTATGTTTTGTTCCCATATTGGGGCTTGAACGCAGGGTCTGGTTGTTGTCCTGTAGCTTTTCTGATCCAGGCTGGCATTCTACCATGTAAGCCATAATTCCACTTCTGGCTTTTGCTGATTAATTCGAGATAAGGGCCTCATGGACTTTCTTGCCTTCAATGTATAATCCTCAGGTTTTTGCTTTGTAGCTAGGAATCACAGACAAGAGGCATCAGCTCCTAGCCTTAAAATCTTTTAAAATGAAGTAAAACTACATATGAAAAAATATGCAGCCAGAAGCATACATACCTGATGCATGGTTATGATGTGAACACACTTGTGTGGACACCTGTCAGGTAAGGAAGCAGTGTACTGGGGCACCCTTACGTCCTCCCGATTAGCATGTGCCCTTTCTGTCTCCACAAATTCCCCTAATGCCTGACTTCATATATTAGCTTTGTCCTATTCTCTGCTCTACATAAATGGAATCTTACAGCACATATTATTATTGTTGTTGTTATTTTTGTGTGTGCATGTGTTGGTCCTGGGACTTGAACTCAGGGCCTGGATGCTGTACTAAAGATTTTTTTGCTTTTGCACTCAAGGCTAGCACTTGGTCACAACAACAGCTCCACTTCTGGCTTTGTGCTGGCTAATTAGATGTATAAGAGTCTTATGGATCTTCTAGCCTGAGCTAACTTTTGGATGGCAATTTCAGATCTCAGCCTTCTGAGTAAGCGACTGGCACCTGGCAGCATGTATGGTTTTTATCTTGTTTGTTTGGCTCAGTGAATGAGATTCGTTCATTCCTTGTGAACAGAGTATTTCACTGTTGAAATGGTGTTCCATTTTGGTTTCAACATGTGTGTCCCTGATGTATGAGATTGAGCATGTTATAGTATTTAAGGCAAGTTGGATTTCCTTCCTTCGGCATGTTCTTCAGAACAAAACCCAGCAGACATGCATATGAGTCTTCTGTGAGTTACATATGTATGTAATATGCATATGAGTCTTCTGTGAGTTACATATGTATGTTATAAATTCTTTTCCCATTGTGCTACTATTTATTTCCAAATGTAGTTTCTACTTTTAGTCAACTTATCAATTCTTTTCTTAATGGTTAAGGCCTTTTTGGGGAAGGAGGGGTTGGTTCTAGTATTACAACTCAGAGCCCTGTGCTTGATAAGCAGGTACTCTATAATTTCAGCCATGTCTCCAGTCCTGTAAGAGTATTGCTTTGTGTGTCCTTTTAAATAATTATTTCCCTTTTGCATGGCCACAAAGATACTATTCTGTATTTCATGTGTCTCCTAGCAGGCACTCTACTACTTTAGCCACAGCTCCACTTCTGACTTTTTGGTTAATGGGAGATGAGTCTCATGGACTGTTCTGTCAGGGCTGGCTTTAAACTATGAATCTCAGATCTCAGCCTTCTGAGAAGCTAGGATTATATATCTCTTTCCCAGGCCTTTCCCCACCGCGTGGAGGACCAAGATGGCCAGGTACCAGCTGGAACGATGAATAAACCTACTCCTTACCTGAATACCACGTGCGTGCTGCTGTTCTTACTCAATCACCTCTTTTTAAAAACCTAACATAAATGGTGCCGTGACTCAGATAAAGGGCTTAAAGTCAGGATAGGTGGGATTCCTCTCTGCTTTTTTTCCTCTTTTTTCTTTTTTTTGTTTGTTCTTCCCCTTTTGCTCTAAGGAATACCCACAGTTCTGACGGCCTTTTGCGAACCGGTCTGTCTGTTGTGGACACAGTGCATCGATACCATTGCTGGCCTTCACAGCCATGTCCACACCACTTCTCTGCTCTGGTGAGTGAAACTACTCTCTATGGTTCTCTGTTGCTCAGTCTCTGTCCAAATGTGGCGCCACGCCAGAGAGCTCCTACAGCTGAAAGACCGGTCACCTCTGAAGCCAAGGATGCTTGGCTTTGGGGGCTTGGCCATTTCTCTCTAGAGGGCTCTGGGGGAAGTCGGGATGCCGCTTCTGCCTGGTCAGCTCTCCTTCACTCACCAGACTGACTCTCCTCACATTTAATGGGGTGCTGAGAGTCATGCCCAAGTGGTGAAACCCCTTTGAAATGCCTCCTGCGCTCCCTGGAAAGCCAGAGCACCTAATTTTTATGCCATTCTCAGATGTAGACAGTTTTTCCCACTGCAATGGTAAATGGTCAGAAGTGTGTTGACTTTCAGGCTCTCTTTGCTCTCTCTCTCTGCCAGTCATGTCCAACTTTCCCTATCTCTCCCTTTCTCTTTTCTACATTTTGGCTTGTGCCCTGAAGAGTGCGACGCAGGCTGGGTCCCAGGGACCCCCCTCTAGGTTCCCTCAGAATTTCTTTGAGTTTTTTCAGAAATTCGCCATCTTGGCCATGTGGTGGGTTAAGAGTTTGGCCCCATCTGACTCTTAACCTTCCACCAAGCTTACTTCTCCATCCATCTATTCTAAGGTGCCTTGCTAACAAGTTGCTCTTTTCACAGGCCCTGGTAACTGAGGCCCAATCATCTGATGTGTTTTGTTAGTAAAGATGTCTAAACGTTGTCAAAATTTTAAGTTTTGCCTTTTTTGTTTTGTGTTGTATATTCTGGTACTGACTACATGACTCCTACTAACATTTTCAGCTCTAAGTCCTTCCTCTTGCCATTTATTTGCTCTCTAGTATTTTCTTTTCCAGCCCCTCAATGCTAATGAGATTTCTCCAGACTTCATCTAAGGACTCAACGCCACCAAGGGACAGCTGCTGCTCACTGCCTTCTCTGGGAGGGGACCAAATTCCAGCCTTTTACCCCTATTATCGACACCCCTTGTCAGCAGGAAGTAGCCAGAGAGAATCTGCGCCCTATTCCATGATTATTAAAAAGCTGGAATGTAAGGTCCGCTCCTGGATGGCTAACAGACTCCACCCTCCTCGCAGCAAAGTCTCCACACAGTACCTGCGTTACCTAGGCAACTGGCACACCTGGAAGAGGTCACATCTGCATCTGCTGAGGTCACATCTGAATTTGATGTGGCCACACCTTTCTCCACCCATACCTTAGATAAGGCCTAGCCCAGGCCCAGATGCTCTCTTTTCTAGCTCTTTTCTAGCTCTTTTCTCTCTCTTTCCCAGCTCTCCCAGCTCTCTTTCCCAGGCCTTTCCCCACTGCGTGGAGGACCAAGATGACCTGGTGCCAGCCAGAACAATGAATAAACCTACTTCTTACCTGAAAAAACAAAAAAAAACAAAACCCAAAAAACAGCATTCTCAACATGCACACAGTGAAAACAAAGGAGAATGTTTGTTTGTTTGTTTTTTGTGATAGTCCTGGGGCTTGAACTCAGGGCCTGGGCACTGTCCCTGAGCTTCTTTTGCTCAAGGCTAGCATTCTACCTTGAGCCACAGCCCCACTTCTGGCTTTTACTGTTTTATATGGAACTGAGGAATTGAACCCAGGGCTTCATGCATGCTAGGCAAACACTCTACCACTAAGCTACCTTCCCAGCCCCCAAAGGAGAATATTCTTAGGAGAGGATTACAAGGGCTCAATAGCTATGCAATATGACCATATAAGGTGATAATTATCTAAATGAACACCAAGAAATGGAAGGGGAGGTTTTTTATTGTACTGTTTTCAGTTCTTCACCCCCCCCTTCTTTCACTGTTTTTGATTTCTGTACCCTTGTCTTGAATATAAGTTTATTTGATTTGGGGAGGGGAAGGGAAAGCACAGAAAGGTGGAACAAAAGGTGAACCAATTCAGCAGTGATACTCAATAGACACTATGTTGGAAATGAACCATACAATTTGTGGGGGAGGGAGTCGGGAGAGCAAAAACTGGGAGAGAATGAGGGAGAAGGTGACACTGTTCAAAAGGCAATGTACTAATTACCTCATTTATATAACTGTAATCTCTCTGTACATCACCTTTACAATAAATTTTTTTTTAAAAATCTAAAAAAAGAAACTGTCAGGACAAATAAAGGATGTGATTGAAGCTACCAGGCATTAGGGTGGGGATTCTGTACCTTCCCTTGGGATGCTCTCTGTGAAGAACAACACCAACTTCTCATACATACAAGCCACGTTAACAAGGCACAAGGGACACAATAATGCAAATACAGCTAACAGGATGAGTGTGATGACTTTCCAGCAGCAGCAGCAAACACAAGAATACGGCTGCTTTGGTATGATGACAAGCAAAGACTTGACAAGGAATTCATTCATGCAGGGGTCATACCAAGACAGCCTGAATTCTAAGCTGTGGATGAAAACAAATGATGAGGGAAGAGGTGACTTCAGTGGCTTTTTGTTTTGTTTTGTGTGTCGTGCTGGTACTGGGGCGGGGCAGGCTCTGTCCTTTATATTTATTTTTGTTCAAGGACAGTGGTCTACCACTTGAGACACAGTTCCACTTCCAGGTTTTTGATGCCTAATTGAAGATGTGTCTCCCATACTCTCCTGACTGGGCTGGCTTCAAACTGTGATCCATAGATCTCAGACTCCTGAGTAGCTGGGATTTAGGCATGAGCTCCTGGCACTCAGCCTTCAGTAGTATTTTGTAGACTGACTTTTTTTTGTCATTCTTTGGGCAAAA